GCAGTGATTGACCAACGTTCTACTGCGAATGACACGGTGCGAATGAATGTTTGCAAACGATGTGTTCGAGAAAGAGAGAGTGCTACGTCGACATTTTGCGGTCAACATCGATCGGTCAGCGCACATGCATATACCAGATGACTTTGCTACGTTACGACGACGACGTGGCTGGTTGTAAAGGGTCAATAACCTCGATCGATCTCCAACCCTAGCCACGGATCAATCGTTCAATCATAGAAAACATGGGACGACTCGATGTAAGATGAAAGCTGAAGGTTAAGCGCTATCCGCTTAACTTCGATTTCATTCCTAACCCTCGTACGATCTTTTGACCATTTATCAGCATCAACTTTGTTTTAATACCATCTCTGTCTCCGTTTCATTTCGTTAAGCTACAAGCTCGAACATTGTGAATCTTGCTTTAAAATCATTGATTTTTTTCTTTTCTTTTTTTAATGAACTCATAATTCCCTTTCTCTCAAATTTCTTTTTTCAATCATTTGAAAATATCCACGATACGTGGTTCATTTTGAAATAAAACGATCAGACTACTCAAGTTTGAGACACGCATTTGAAACTTGTAGGCGCATGATGTTGATAAGGTTTGAAAATAATGATCGTAAATAAATGTCCATTTTGAAACAAAAAACTAGCACATCAAGTTGATTTTCGAATTCAAAATACAAAATATTTTAATTGCTATTGACAAACTTTGAAAATATTCATCACAAATCCATTTTATATCTTCTTGAATTTAAAATACGTAAAATATAATCTATAATATTACTATTAACGTTATTATCAATATCAAATGTATGATTTTGACGTTCGAAAAGAATCTCACAAATAGTTAATTATCACAGATAGTTAAATATTATAAAATCACATATTATATATTATAAAATCATAGTTTATTTTCAAATAAAAATACCTAGCTCATCGAACTGTTTCTCGAGTTTAAGGTTCACACATTCGAAAATTTAGGTATATAATATTATCAATAAGGATCGGGAATGTTCCATTTTGAAATCGAAGAAGATCGAGCAGCTTCCCTTCCATTTAAAGCACACGTTTGAACATTATTACGAATATCTCGAGATCGGAAAGTCAAGTAAATGGAACGCGATAATTTGACACGAATCCGCCAATGTATTTTCAACTTTGACGTTTTAATTTCAATTTACCTATTCTAACAAAACGTCCCCAAATTATTATCCTACAAAATCTGTCAATTATTCTATAAAATTGTTGCCCAATTGCAAACGATGTGATGAACTGCGACGACGCTAACGAAAGGAAAAGTTCGCCGCGGGTTTTTAATCATGTGTGTGTGTGTGTGTGTGTGTGTGTGTATGTGTGCATTCGCATGACCAACAATTTGCGCGATTGCGACGGAGAGGACAGGTGGATATCCAACAGATCAGTGTGTTCAACGTTAATTCGGAGCAGCGTGACAATAAGTTGAAGCGCAACGTTGGTAATTGCAATGAATTGCCGCGGTGCGTTTCATCGGTGTTATTAATTACAACTCATTGTACTCGCTAATGAAGTCATTAAACAGAGATTATTACGTTTGTAGTGTGTCGTTGCCTCTGTTACACTCCTGTTCTATTATACTGTCTTAAATTCACGTTGTTACCAAAGGGAAACACGTTGTTACCGTTGTTGTAACAATGCGACTGAAACACACACACATATATATATATACACGTATGTATTGTGTACAGCTTTCGTTGTTCGTCGAAATCGATTTACCATTCGTGTGCCGTAAATGCATTAAGTACGATTAAGAATTTTGATCGATAAATGGCAGCACGATGTTCAATTTTAATTGTTGCAATTGAAATTTTAGCCGAGGCTAGTTTAATATAATAATAATTTATTATTATTTTCTAGTAAACATGCGTATATATACCTTACTATAATTATTATGTATTATTAATCATTACGAATAAATAACAACAATATTAACTCTCGAGTGGAAATCAATTTGCATTACGCTGCGAAAATTTGAACCGTACAACATTATTCGGATTATTGGGATTAGCAGTAGAACTAGAATCAGATAAGAAAAAATTGCAAAATCAAGCAACGTGGAACATAAATCTCCACGGGCTGGAATTGAGGATTAAAAACTCAATGTAATTCACATAGTCTGCCGTAATTTTCCATGGCAAACAAACTCGTGATATTACATAAGTTCTGGATGGTAATGCAATTTGCAGACAATTTTACTGCAATAGTCCGTCAGCTCCGTTATACATAACCGATCTCTTCTTTTACTCAAGTTCCTGCTCTGATTGCCTCCGTTCCTCTTTCTTTCATCAGAGATCGTTTCAACACACACTCTCTGTTTCTCTCTATGTCGCATTCATTTATCCCTGTTACGTGGAGGACGTAATGGGAGGGCGGATTATTACAGGCCAGAAGAAAATTGTCTACAATTTATGACAACCTTCCGTCATGGAGTACTTACTTGGCACGGTGCAAATAGATTCTCATCGCTGTAAGAGTCTCGCGTTTGAAGGATCAGGCGACACGAAAGAAACACGTTCTGTACAAAGCTGATACCGAAAGCCTGCCGAATCGAATGTCATTTCCTCTCTTTGAAGCTGCTCTCTTTTCGCGAAATTACTCGCTTGAATTTATATTATAAATAGTCCATCTCGGTACGTCACATCGTCTATCTAGAATTCCTACGAGATGCCGATACGTTCGTTTTCCTTACTCACACCGAGTAGATTAACATTGGGACGTGTTGCGGGCACGACAATATGCAAATTGAACAAAATGCAAATAGGACGGTGCCGACGTGTATTTCACGAGCCAGAGCCTGCGACACTAATCACATTACGAGATAAAACG